CGGGTTGTTAGCCTCTGTGGTTATTGTCAGGGGTTTGTTAGCCTCTGATGGGCATTATCAGGGGTTGTAGCCTCTGTGGGTTATTTCAGGGGGGTTGTAGCCTCTGTGTTATTTCTCAGGGGTTGTAGGCTCTGTGGGCTATTTCGAGGGGTTTGTCTAGCCTTGTGGTTATTTCAGGGGTTGTAGCTCTGTGTGTTTATTTCTCAGGATTGTAGCCTCCTGTGTTTATTCAGGGTTGTAGCCCTGTGGCTATTCTTAGGGGTTGTAGCCTGTCTGGTTATTTCGGTGTAAGCTCTGTCCTGTGGTTTATTTCTACGGTTGTAGCTCTGTTGTCTATTTCAGGGTGGTTGTGCCTCTCCTGCTCTCTGCTCTTCTCTCATATTGTCAGCTGCATTTTCTCACCATGAACGCATTCTCTCTCTCTCTCCTCTCTCTCTCTCCATCTCTTCTTCTCTCCTCTCTCTCTCTACTCTCATCCTGCTCGTCTCTCTCTCTCACTCGTCTCTCCTCTTTTCTCAATAAGGCCGAACTGACCAAGTACTTCAAAATGACCATTGCGAGTTTAATACGACCCTAGCCATTACAAAGCCCTATCATCACCATAGGCCGTTTTCCCAGCCCTTAAATTCTGGGAACTGTCCCTTATTAAGGGCTCTTGCGGCGCGCCCCATGTGTCCTCTCCCCCTCCCATGTGTCTCTCCCCCTCTAATGTGTCCTCTCCCCCCCTATATGTCCTCTCGCCGCCCTCGTTTCTCCCCTGTAATATCCAGCGCTATTTGCAGCTAGTGAAGGAGTTCGGGAAGAGGGGGGGGGGGAGATAGGCCTACTGACCGTGTGAAATGCGATTGGGGTACAATTTCCGGCTTTTGGTTAAAGGTTACTTGTGCGTTTTCTCTTTCTGTTAAATACACTTATACGCTCTGGCTCGCTCGCTCTCTCTGTGGCTTCTTGTCTCTTTTGTCTCGGTCTCTGTCTTTTCTCTTTTTCTGTTTCTGTCTCTCTTTCTCTGTTCTTGTCTATGTCCTCTGTTTCTGTCTCTATCTCTCTCTTCCTTTTTTTCTCTCTCTCTTCTCTCTCTCTCTTCTCTCTCTCTCTCTCGCTCTCTCTCTCATCTCTCTCGTCTCTCTCTCTTCTCTCATCTCTCTCTCTTCTTCTCTCTCTCTCTCTCTCACTACGCTATCCATCTCTGCTCCCCCACACAAGGAAAAGGTAAATAAGAAAGAACGAGGAAAAAATGTATTTCAATAAGAGTTTCCAACTGGCCAAATCATTCCTTGGATATTTTCTCAGATCTTAGTGTAACAAGAGAGAGAGAGAGAGAGAGAGAGAGAGAGAGAGAGAGAGAGAAGAGAGAGAGAGAGAGAGAGAGAGAAGAGAGAGAGAGAGAGAGAGAGAGAGAGAGAGAGAGAGGAGAGAGAGAGAGAGAGAGAGAGAGAGAGAGAAAGAGAAAGAAAGAAAGAAGAAAGAAAGAAAAAGAAGAGAGACAGAGAGAGAGAGAGAGAGGAGAGAGAGAGAGAGAGAGAGAGAGAGAGAGTAGAGAGAGAGAGAGAGAGGAGAGAGAGAGAGAGAGAGAGGAGAGAGAGAGTAGTACAAACAACTACAACTACTACTAATGTATTAGTTGTAGTAGTGGTAGTAGTCATTGTTGTTGTTGTAGTAGTAGGAATCGTGAAGGAAACCGGAGAGGGGCGCCTAGGACTCTCATCCTTGGGCATCCGCGGGGAATCTTCCTTCTTCTCCTAACGGTATACGCCCCCTATTCCATTCCCTTCTCTACTCTTCCTTTTCTCCCCCTCTCCACGTGTCTATTCCCAGTTTTCTTTCCTCTTTCTTCTCTCCTCCTCTCCACGTTGTCTTCCTGCGTTTCTTTCCCTCTTCTTATCTTCTCCTTCTTTCCCGTCCTCCTCTTCGTTGGTCTTCCCTTTCTCTTCTCTATCTACTCCGTTATTCCCTCTCCTCTCATCCATCTTTCCCTCCTCTACTTCCCTACTTCCCTTCCTCCTCTCCTCCTTGCTACCTCTCCTCCTCCTCCTCCCTCCTTCCCTCTCCCCCTCCTCCCTCCTTCCGTCCTCCTCCTCCTCCCTCCCTCCCCTCCTCCCCTACCTTCTCCCCC